TCTTCATCATCCTCATTATTATTACGAACTTTGCTAACAACATTACGTCGGCCATATTTGCTTTTAATATCATCATTAACATATCCATGCATTTATTTTACCATTTCCGGCTGAAATTCTTCTTATTTTGATCTTTTGTTCGGGTCATCCACATTTAAATTTACGTCATCAGTGACGTCATCTTCACCGATGTCATCTTTTATTTTTATTTGATTCGTCATCATCATCTTATCATCGTAATAGCTATTTTTATCATAATGACGTTCTCCAATTTATATCTCATCATCACCATCATCACCATCATCACCGTCATCACCATCATCATCATCGTCATCATTATCATTAAATCATCATCATCATCAAATCTTCATCGTCGCCATCGTCATCGCCATATGACATCTGCTGACAACGAAGGAATCTTGAATATCAACGAAACAATTAATTTATATAATCCTACCTACCTACCTACATACATGCATGTATTAGTAGTGCATGCATGCATGCATGCATGCATACATACATACATACATACATACATACATACATACATACATACATACATACATACATACATACATACATACATACATACATACATACATACATACATACATACATACATACATACATACATACATACATACATACATACATACATACATACATACATACATACATACAAACAAACAAACAAACAAACTTTGTAATTTTTTTTCAGAATGAATGTGTGTACATCTTAGTTTTTTTAATTCTGTAATTTGTTTCTTTGCAAAGTTTGTATGTTTGTATATATGTATGTATGTATGTATGTAAGCATATATGTATGTATGTATGTATGTATGCATGTATGTATGTATGCATATATGTATGTATGTATGTATGTGTGTATGTATATGTGTATGTATGTGCGTATGTGCATGTGATGAGTTATTTATGGCATCTTTTTTAAAACCCACTAGCCGAAAAAGATTAATACGAAGAAATAAACATGATGATGATAATGATGACGACGACGATGATGATGATAATGACGATGACTATCACGGAAAAACTTCACCTAAAATTAACACCACCAACTTGATTATCGTTCCACCAGTGAAACCATCATTGCTAACATTGTTATTTTTATCATTTAGTTTAATAATGATAATATTATTATTATTTATGTTTTTGTTGTTGTCATTATTATTATTAAACCCAAAAGGGGCGTGGTCATCTTGCCAATCAAGCAATTGCGGAAGCGGGGGCAGCCAGTGGCGATTTCTAATTTGCTACCAAAGAGATCAAAAACATAGACCTTATAATTTCACTGATATCATTAGTGATGAATTGTCAATGGAAAAAAGTTATTGTAGTAGTAGTAGTAGTAAAAGTAGTAGTAGTAGTAGTAGTAGTAGTAGCAGCAGCAGTAGTAGTAGTAGTAGTAGTAGTAGTAGTAGTAGTAGTAGTAGTAGTAGTAATAGTAGTAGTAGAGGACCTATAATAAGACTGAAAAAAAATGACGAAGACGATTTTACCAAAGATATAATACAACAGAGCAGCACAAAGAACCGCTACAATATCAATTACAATAACAAAACATCCCTTAATGACGTCATTGTGAACAACTTCGTCTACAAACAAGTTCGGCCCTGCTTTAAGTTATGCCCTCAGCATCGTCTCTCCTACAAATGGCAAACGACCCAATGGACGAGGTGCTATTTCGGCTCGGAGTTGAATAAAAAATTGAAAGAGCGATCGAAAAGTATTTATAAAAGTGGGAGAATTAGAAACAAATATAATAAAAACAACAAAAAATATAGTAATTATAACAACAATAATAATTATTATTATAATTATAATATATATAATAATGGTAGAAGGCGATTGGGTATGATTAAAATTAAAGATGACGATGGTTACGATGGTAATAGATATCTCTTAAGATATAACGTTAATAATAAAAAAAACTCATCGTCATCATCATCGTCATTATCATTATCATCATCATCAGCAGCAGCCGCAGCAGCTTCATCAGCCTCACACCTCTATGGACTTCAATTTAGATTAGTTACATGCAGAAAAAACAATTGCTGTTTAGAATTCAATAGCGTTAGTAATAGCAGTGGCAATAATGCTGTTGGTAATAATACTACTAGTAGTAATCGTAATAATAGTATTCATGACGTCATTTCCGGCTCAGACGATGTGAGCGATCTGATTGGTCCGCAGTTTGTTTGCAGTACTTTCAATGCCAAACCACCAAACGTTAGAGTCTGCAATCCGTTCGATGATGAAGATGACGATGATGAAGAGGATAAAAATGATGATGATGATAATAATAGTAATAATAATGATGATGATAATAATAATAATAATAAAATCGACGATCGTGACATTTATTACGGAAAGAAAGAGTTAATTAATCCGAAGTTAGGTCAAAGTCGTTACGGAGACCATGAACTAAAAACATGCGCAGTCAGCGAATTTACTGTCCCCACAAGCTGTCAATCATGTTGGG